TGCAGAGTTCCTTCCCCTCCCTTACCACCCCTGGCAACCAACAAAGAAAGTTTCCCTCCATATATAAATCTTTCCTTGACCCTCCACAACAACAATCTAATCCTATATTTGCCCTTCTGTGATTGATTTATTTTACTCAGCATAATGTCCTCCAGGTTCATCCATGTTATGCAGTGTTTTGCAGACTCTACATTATTCTTTAGTGCTGTATAGCATTCCATTATGTGTACATACCATAGTTTGGTCATCCACTCTCCCACTGATGGGCATGTAGGTTGTTTCCATCTTTTTGCTATTGTAAATAGTGCTGTGATGAACATGGGTGTGCATGTATCTTTTCCTGACCTGGCTCTTACCTCTCTAGGATATATACCTAGTAATGGGATTGCTAGGTCAAATGGTATCTCCATTTCAGTTTTCTAAGGAATCACCAAACTGCTTTCCACAGTGGTTGTATCACTTCACAGTCCCACCAGCAGTGTATGAGAGTCCCAATCTCTCCACATCTCAACCAGCATTTGTTATTTTCTGTCTTGTTGAACCTTGTCATCAGTGTTAGAGTGAGATAGTATCTCATTGTTGTTTTGATTTGCATCTCTGACAGCCAATGATCGTGAGCATCTCTTCATGTGTTTGCTGGCCACCTGAATATCCTCCTTGGTGAAGTGTCTATTCATGTCTTCTGCCCATTTTTCAATTGGATTGTTAATTCCTTTGCTGTTGAGGCATTGGAGTTTTCTATAAATCTTAGAGATAAGTCCCTTGGCAGACATGTAATTATGGGCAAATATGAATTTGTTGTTGTCATATTTGTTATGTGCTTTTCCATGGTGTTGATTTTTTTGTTCCTGAATGAGTTTTGTTTATGAATTGTGTTATCACTTCCTTCATTGTTACTGTTTTAGTATTTGCTAAATATTTGTGCTGGTCCTCTTTTTTATTTTGATGTGAAGGTTTATCATTTTTCTTTGAGGTTACCCTATGATTTATAGTTTTCTTCCCAAGTGTAGAACAGTTTGTTCTATCTTGTAGTGGTCTTGATTTCCTTACCATTTAGAAGTTCTATAACTACACAATTTTTTCCCTGTTTTTGGTTTGTACTTGTCCTCATTTGTCAATTGATGTCTCTGGCTCCCTGTTTACAATCTCGTAGGCTTATTTACTTTAGATACTTCCATAGCTGGGTTGGTTTTTGGGTTATGTCATCATGTGTGTTAATGGTCAGTTGTTGTTGGCTGTTGTTGCTTCTCTGTCCAAAGGACTCCCTTTAGCATATCTTGTAAGGCTGATCTGGTTTTAACAAATTCCCTTAATTTCTGCTTATCTAGAAATGTCCTAATTTCATCATCATATTTGAGGGACAATTTTGCTGGGTACATAATTCTTGCTTAGAAATTTTTCTCTTTCAGGGTTTTATATATACCATCCTATTGTCTTCTTGCCTGCATGGTTTCTGCTGAGAAATCCAAGTTTAGTCTTATTGGTTGCCCCTTATAGGTAACTTTCTGTTTTTCCCATGATGTTTTCAGGATTCTTTGTCTTTGGTTTTGGTGAATTTGATGATATGTCTTGGTGATTTTCTTTTGGGGTTATTCTGGTTACCTAGTACTGCTCTGACAAGAATATACCATAAATGGGACGGCCTTAAAAGCAGGAGTTTATTCTTACAATTTGGAAGCTTTAAGTCCAAGTTCAAAGTGCCAGGTTCTAGGGGCTGGGTGAAAGTCCCTCAACCTTGGGGTCCAGCTCTGCCTCCTGCTCCTGGCCCACTGGAGCTAGAGGCGTTTCTTCACTCAGACAGCTGCAGGCTACTGAGACTGAGAAGCCCCAAGGTTGACAAGTAAAAAGGCACAGTCCTGATGTTACCAAACCATAC